TCCATCTTCGTTCTTTGCATGTTGATTCTTAAATGATGCAGTTATTGTTGAACGGTTTTGAAATCTTTTATACATTTCTTGAAAATATTCAATGGGCTTATCTTTATCATTTGAATGTATTGTAACAAGATGTTCTCGCAATCGACTTGGCTTCGTTGCTTCATTGGATAATGTCTTGTGGCACAATGAACACATTGTTATAACTGTTCATTTATAACAGATTCGATGAAACCCATCTTCAGATACTCTGGTAAATAACGACGAGCGTATTCCTTTTTTCGAGACATGGGTCCACAACTTTTTGCACAATTTATCAACTCGTTCCAAGCTGTGGAGGCGTGCTTACTCTCACAAATCTAACCACGTATTACCCCTCAACATGGAAGATGTTACGGCTCGAAGACTGAGGCCCGTCACAGAGTCGAGCGGAGCGTCGGCAAATTAGTTACATTATATGGGCCGTTCACAGTCTTTTAAGGCTCTTTTTCAGAAGTGATCCGGGACTAGCCTACGCGATTCAGTACATGAAGGGTTAAATGCCAAACTAACGAAGTCGTTAGAAATGTATTCGATATATGGAGAAAAAATGAAATTTGTAACAACGGACGAAAACCTCCACCACCCACCGTGAAAGCCTGAGTGGTCTACTAGTGGCCGGTAGGGACCAAGTTGACGATCACTGGTATAGACTATGGACTACTAAGGTAAATCTCCCAGTGGTTGAACGTTTAAGGCGAAGATTGCGGTTGCGAAGACTTTTTATATATTAAAATAATATAGATTGGCAAAAAAGTACATTCAATCGATAGAGCAGAATTTTTTCTTCCAGACAAGTGGTTATAAGAAAGTGTTCACGTGAAAAGAAGTATTAAAATTTATGAATATTTAAAAGCGTTCATTTGGCCGAGGGATTGGACGGAATTTACGACGTATCTTAGTGATTAAATTTAGCAGTCCCAGTGTTTGGACACAACATTCAATAAATTATTCATAGCTGATTTTTCATAGTAAAACATAATACTTATCTTTCATGTTGTAAAAATTCAAATAAAAACCTAACAGATTTAATTTTCTAACAAAAATTTAATTTTGTAACAGGAAATCCTCGTTCTCTGAGATAGAAAATCCACTGAACAAGTTTCTCCTCTTCTTCTTTCGTGAGGTACGTTGATGGACCCATTGTGGCAATTAAAGGAATTGTCCCTTTACTTTTAATATAAACTGTGCTTCGAGGCACTGTATATTTGTCACTGGTAATTCTTAATGTCATGCCATTTTTAATAATTTTGACAGCATTATTATCGTCTTGTTGTGAATAATTTTTTTTACTCACCTTTCCCTTCGGCATCTTGAAAGTCTTATGTTATAAAAAATTCCGGAAACAAAAGAAATGAAGAAAGAGGTGATTTTTAATGAATATTCAGTACGCGAATCGCTTACGTTATGGTTGTGTTAAAATAATATGATATTTATGAATGAAATATGTAAAAAAACTATGAGCTCCCAAAATTAAATATTGTTGTTAATATAAAAAACACAAAAATACCTACTGTAATATAACGAAAATAATTTTTTAAGTCATATATTAACTCTGCTCGATGCTGTTCCAGTGACTAAGACAAGCGTCCAACGACTACGCAATCAGCATTTTCATTACCTAGTAAATAAACTCGGTAATTTCGACATTAAAAGAAAAAGGTTTTATTAAAACAAAGTTGGTACCAATTCTGGAGACTTTAATAAATTCAAGAAACCTTTACATAATCGAAACACACGAATGATTTATTATTTACGAGCTTAAGAAATCCGCTCTCAATGTTAGCGAAACATTTACGAAGGCATTCATGTCACCTCAAGTTCACGATTGCTGAATGATAATATTTTTTTTAAATAATACATCGCACTTTTGCGAACATTTTTATATGATTTTTGATAAGAAATAACTAAGGATAATTATTTTCTATCCTGAAGTTGGCTATTATTTAAAAAAAATTTAATAGTAACAAAAACTCACGATAGTGAGTAACCACTGGGGGACATTTACCTTATAGACTTAATAGTTTAATACAGTGCTGGGCAGCGTAGGGGCACCTCAGGCGCCTGTTTCCTCTTCCAACCTTTCTTTCGCTCCGTGTGCCTTCGTAGAAACAAAGAAGCCCAGACTCTTGTCCCTGTCACTCCATGGTAACGGTGGACGAGATGGAAGGGACAAGTATTAGCTCCCAAGAGTCAACTTTGCCCACCGCTGGCTGGTTTAATATGTGCTCGAACTGATGCCCCTCAACCCTCAACTTTTTTGCAGCGATTTCAATGCAGTGATTATTTTGTGATAATCTCGTTAACTGTTAGGTTTAGGGCGTATGAAGGTCAACACATCTTTACTCAGAATGTGATATTCTATCGACTTATAGTTCAAAACAGATAATTCTGTTAAAAAAAAATCAAGATGACCCTGAAATCTCTAAAATGCCTCCACCCACAAGAAAAGCACGTGCCTTATCAGATCTGCCCCTTGATGCCATTTCAGTTTCACAGTTCAAAATTTTCATAAAGTGTACCGTTAACTTATTATTCGAGGTGAACAAGGTAGCTGAGACACCCTGTATATGTATGTATATCATTAGATAAGTGGATGCTGTGCGACCAGGCTCCAAGTGACGTTGGAAAGTAGGTCAGGATTTAAGCTCGATCCACAAGTTCTGTCGCCCTGAATTTATGCTGGTCGTGGTTTTAATTAATCGAGCGTTAATTGCTCCCGTCCCCTTTCCCCGCAACGAGGAGGGCTGTTGGCATACATGGACGTCCATTTGGCTTTTTCGCGTTTCCATGTACGCGATACGTGATGAGATTAAATCCTTGCAGACTTTACGGAAGACAGGTGAAGTGGCTATGCAATAACATGCGCAGATCTTTCTTATATGGGCCCACTTCTGTTTTATGAAACACTTTCGTAACTGACGGGTAAAGGGTTGGGAGACCGAAGGGGGTCGACGTTACAGAATATGCTCTCTAGAATGTGGGTCTCCGGAACGCCGTGGAAAACAAGCCATGGAATTCTGCGCGTTACATCCACGTGAGAAAAGCGTGGAACGTTTGGATGTATTATTTCTTGTAATGATCGACTCTCTTACTGATTTGTCTTTGGAAATTTTTGTTCTCGAGGCCATTTGCAGTGGTAAATTAACTTAATTTGGAGCTTTGAACATACAATTATGTGTTATTAATTATAAAATAAGTAAAAGTCATACAATTTATGGTCTACGAAGACTCTAATAAAATTGATTATAATACTTGGATAAGAGGTATGAAAGAATTAAAGAGAGTAACAGATTAATAGATCCTGTGTATTAATGGATAACAATAACATTAATTTTATTTAAAGACGGGTATGTTTTTTTAGTGAAAACAGCAATAAATTTTTTATTCTTTGCCGTTCCGGTATTAATTTTTACTATTTTAACTTTACTATTTCGTACTGGAGATAAAAATATCGTATAAATATTTCAAATATTGAAATATTCCAGTTTTTAAATTAATCCTTTAAAGACGCCGCAAGTTTTTCGTTTCTTCCCATTTGACCGACGGTATGTGGCGTCACATACATACATTATTATAATCTGTTAATGAACCACATTTTAGAATATTTTTCAAGTGGCCATACAGGAGCTGCGTAATGAATAAAATTCGGTCGCTGAGAACGGTATGAGAATCGGTGCAATGTTCCGACGCCGTGTATCAGAAGGGTTGAAAGCTGCTTTTTTCTCTGTTAGCGTTCCCCTTTTTCGCACCTGTGTGTATTTCGTTCCCAAAGTGAGTGGTATTTACAAGAAAGCAAACGAATTAGTGGAGTATATCGAATAGCAAGATAAAAAAATCACTTCGTTGCCGATCGCACGCGAACGTTCGTTTTTCAAACACAAATCATACTTTACATCTCTATTGATTGGGTTTTCGGTTTGTCGTTAGCCACTAGACGGATCTCGAACTTTCAATATTGTAACAGGAATTTATGTGAGGCACTGATGAAATTGTTCGTATTTACATTTACTCGTTGTAACTGCTACGTGTACGTATATACATATGGGTAGGTAATAAGTTAACAGGTGTATCTAACGTTTTCCTACGTCATAATATAATAATAAAGAAGTAAAGGTGACTAACGTGTTACCACGGGAATAAGTGATAAAGGTTTAAAACTGGGCTAATTGTAAGTGCTAAATTAGTTGGCTGATTGAAGTTTTCAGATAATAATCTTATGTTGGGGCAGTACTGTCTTTTATTATTTCTACTATTATTTTCCTTCGTTAGCAATATTGATGATTATGTAATACAAATTCTTCTATGAAAAATAAGTTTCCTTTTCTTTTAAATTGATAACACTTACTAGGGGAACTATGTTTCTATTTAGTTCTAGTTTCCTTATTTAGAAACTAGTATCTTTTGTGAATTTTTATTTAATTTCTGTCGTTATAATTTACTCTATAATAATCCGTAGATAGAAAACCGAAAACCACAGTCACAAACTGGGGATAGTTTGCGATGTCAATCGTAATCGGGATATTGACTTTATCCAGCCCACTAATTAAATGTTTACCATAGTTCCGTCAAAGTGACAAGGGGAGTTTTAAATTAGACAAATTAAGCAAATTAAATTTAGAACTCAACCAACATTTACAAGGCAGGTAATAGTATAATGGAACTACTAAAGTGTTATTTTTAAAAAAATTCATCATTAGCGATGCATGTCATACAACTCGTTTGTAATAATCGATTGGAAATTTAAAATTTCTTCTTTTACTTCTTGAATTACTTCTTGAGAGAAGTCAAAGACGCTTGTCTGTGTTAGGAGTTTCCTACGTGAAAGAGACGTTTTCTGAGACCTTGTCATGAGATGAGTCAGAGCAGAGAGTCCCAATTATTGTGCACAAAGTCGCGAACAGCTTTGATCTTACAATTAGAACGACATTAGATCGAATTACGTAAAGGATAAAAAGGCGTACTTAGTCTGACTCGGCTTTATCCCGTGCGCTTCGAGGTCCTTTTCTAGCTGCCTTATTCTAATCCTGGCCATGTCCAGCTCGTGTTTCACTTTCCATAAATGTGTATCGCAGATTGGGTCCCTGCATCTGTGGTACCTCAGGATATCCTGGGCTTCGTACACTGCCCCACGGAATGTCAGAGACTTTCCCATGCTCTGTAAGGAAGTAGCGTTCACGTACATTCCTGGTCATAAGATTAAGAGACACTTATCGAATATGTAGCAGAGTAAATCATCGACGAATGTTCGAAGGCTCCTCGGCACTGACAAGGAGAGGTCCCTGGATGTAATGCTAACTTTTTAATGAAGTTTACCACAGTAGATAGCGCTTGGAATTCTGCAGCCAATGATATTTGTTTTAGCAATCATTGGCCGTTAGTTTATGTCATATTTGATGTTCGGTGCTGAGGAGCCTTCGAACACTCATCGATGATTTACTGTAAATATTACAAGACATTACGAAATTGCTGAAAGTTTGAAATAAATATTGTTTAGAGGATATTAACACTAGACCTACCAAACAAGTCAAATTGACTGTCCAATACATTCTTATAATCATGGTTAAAATGTGATGACAATACAATTTTTATTACCATACGAAAATAAAGAATTCAGTTAATTTATGAATTTTCGAAAGTTTGCCATGTTTATCGGTCGTTAGAAATAGATATACGTTTATAGTCGGTAGTACTAGTATTGAAGCTCGATATACTACGACGCTAATGCTACCATAAAATAATAAACGTAGCTTAAAATATGTAATTTTTACAAAAGTACACACTTTTTTCATACAGACTAGGTGTCCTAATACTAATGAGCAATAGTGTACATAAAAAAAAAAAAAGTAGCCGAGGAATAATAATATTGAAAAAATGAAAGAAGTAATGTTTTAACTTTAATATTGTTTAGGATTTCTATAAAAATTGATAATTTTTGTCTTTTATCTTTTTCGGAACTGAAAGTGATATTGAATGAATAGTTTTTATGAGAATGATAATTTTCAAGAGAATCATTTTTAATTACTAAATTTATAATATGATTGGGTTTAATGAATTAATACTTTTCGTAATTACTTCTGCGTGTAGTCACCAAAATCGCAACCGGACGAAACTAAACTATGTACATTTAATTATGATAATATGTATGTATTATATTTGATTATAATGATGGATAGCTTCAATCAACGCATGCTTTTAATAAGGAATTGATTATATGATTGATTATATTACAGCAAAATGGAACATCCGAATTATAATTAAAAATTACTTTTAAAATATTCTAGTATGACAGGAATCAGTATTTAGTCCCGACCAACTGGAAATAATTTCAATTTTCCAGCCGCGTTAAAAATTTGAAACGATCTGTACGTCGATTTGTAAACCCTGTCAAAAAAATCATTGCACACTTGAATTTTTCTCTACGAAATTTTTTTCTTTAGATGTTTTCAAGTTCGACTAAATCTGTGAAAATACTAAATAGTCTCGCTATGATTGGGAATGAATTTTGCGTTGTAGGGGTGTTATACAGTGACTTACAAGTTTGTTCACGGAAGGCTGTCACTTCAAAGAGTATTTCCAATTTCATTGTAAAATCAACAGCAAGCCTTGGTTCGCAAATACAGGCCTTACACGTGAAATTATTGTAACCATTAATCGTTGTAGATCCGATCATTATAATCTCGATGCTTCACTGTCACGCGTAGGTATTATAAATCAACTTAAAAAATGCCAACTGTTTCTATGCAAGGTCACTACTCAGTCAGCCAAACATTGCAGCGTTTTCATATGTATATCACTTTTTAAGAAAATGTAATCTACAAATATAAACATCTTACTCCATCGAAATCCACATGTATCTCTAAATATCGTACATACATATATAATCTAACAATCTATATTAAAACCCATGTAAAGCCATGTAACTCTCATCGAGAGTTCATTTGTACTCAAATAAAAGAAAAAGGCTGTCACTTCTAGTTGACCAAATTATTAACCAAAATGAGAATTTTATTTCAAAATTAGAGAAAAATTTATCACGAAAGGATCGTAAAATTAATGATAAGAAGAATACACTGCCTAGCATAACTATAAAATGATATTATAATTTTCAATCCTTATGTATTGTGGTTAAAATAAAAACGAACCACCTTTTCTCTAGGGAATATAATCTGTGTTTTTCTGTAGAAACATTATTTCTCAACGTGATTTCAGACATAGCATATATGGTTCGTTTGTATTTCGTTATGCCACGTAGCCACGCAGTATATAAATAGAAATTGCGTGTAAGCTTTTTCATATAATCGTTACTCCAAAAGTCTGTGAATGAATATATGTGACTCACTGTAAATATGTACGTAAAAGAGTGTACCTATCAGTAAGATTGCTCGGTTAACGTTCAACGACGTAATATGTATGCAATCGATAGGGAACTTCAACGCCGTAAATTATCGTCGAAGATTCGCCGTGATCGATATTCTCGGCGCGAAATATATTACGGAAGGATGGAAACAGCTTACCAGGCTGAAAAGGGCGCAACAACCGCCGCCGTCACTTCGCGCGAGATGCTGCCTGACGTACTTGAAATACAAATGTTCTAAGAGTAGAAAGGTCGCGGCCAAAAGGATTCCCATCATCAGTAAGAGAAACGCAGATAAGAACTGCTCCAACGCCAGGGGATCGCTGCTCTTTTGAACCTCTTTCCCCGGCTTACAGGTACCGGTCATCCAGTATCTTCTGAGACGCTCCAAATCCCCTGAAATATTAAGAACATTCTCTTTTTAGCGAAGAGAACCATATTAGGGTACACGTTTTTCATTACTAGACTGTGGATTTCTATGCGAAATCAGATTTTATAAAATAGTTTATAAAGACGAGAACAAAAGCTGTCATTACTTAAGTGTCATGTACTTAATAGTGGTAGAATTGGCCAATTAAAGTCAATTTTCTCGAAAACGAAGTCTCAAATGAAACTTTTTCATGTAATACAGTACCTGACTGTACATGACACCCTGTATAATTTATCGATTCTGATTTGAAAGTTTTGTTTCATTTGAAATTCTATTTCACTGACAAGGGAACACCGCGAACCCTTACTCACGGATTTCAATGCAACTTTGTGGGTTTATAGAGTGATTCAAGGCAAGAATAACGGTATGCTTCATTCGTGCCCAATCGCCCGTTGAGGGTGTGAAAACTAACCTCAAAGTCAAATAGGCACTCCCACTTTTTTGCGTATAACCCTTAAAGTACAAGAGATAGAATATAATATTTCAAACAAAAGTTTAATGGTACAATAAGCGCTATAAACATGCATTGCCAAAATTTTGAAGAAAGTTTTTTTCTTAACAAGAAAATTTTAAAACACTATTTTCAAAATTCTGTTAAGGCAAGTTTATAGCGTTTATTGTGCCATTAAACTTTTCTTTGAAACATTTTCTTCTATATCTTGTACTTTAAGGGTTATACGCAAAAAAGTGGGAGTGCCTATTTGACTTTGAGGTTAGTTTTCACACCCTTAACGGGCGATTGGGCACGAATGAAGCATACCGTTATACTTGCCTTGAATCACTATAAACCCACAAAGTTTCATTGAAATCCGTGAGTAAGGGTTCGCGGTGTTCCCTTGTGAGCTTTACAAGCTATAAATATACACGAAATCCGCAGTGTATTAAAATTACTCTCGAAACTGCATTTTTTAATATTTATGAATTCGGATTAAAAGGATTGTATGTTGGGATGATGGAGCAGAAGAGGTGCTAATAGTAACTTTGTTTGATGATGGATGCAAAAAAGGAGACACGATAATTTTTTTTTTTAATCAAGGTGTGGTGTTGAAACATTTAGGGTGCAATCAGAATTGAAATTTTATTTTTATTAAGTAAGGGTCTGTATGTTTGTTAAAGTTATATCTAAAGTGTCATTTTCATTTAGTTCGTAACTTATGTTAAAAATAAAATGGAACTTTGAATAAACTGTATTTCATTTCTTTTTCTTTAAACAAGATCAAGATTTTGTGTATAATATTTATAAATGGTCTTACAAATTCTTGTTGATATTGGAAGCATTATTGGTTAGTGACACACCTGGGCAGTTCTTAAATGATACTATTTGAAATATTATTTAACATATTATTTGAAATAATATTATTTGAAATAATATGTTATTTTACTTCATAGTTATTTCCAAGCCTGTGATCACGTCTGAAATAATTCTTAGAAATAATTGTGAAATTTTTCTTCGAGATTATATCAGATGACTGAATCTGAGTTTGGTTTATTGACATTTTTCTGAAGAGTAACACCCCTCTTACATCTTCAACACCAATGGAGCAATTATTTTCTTTCGCGACAATATTAGTTGGACCCAAGCAAAAATCTTTCACGGATGAGCTTTCTGAAAATCAGGTTTTGCTTAAACAAATTGCTGTAAAGATTTTTTCAAATAAAATCTTCCTGTTGCATATTATTTTGAGTCTTATTTCTTTTGCCAAATTTGAAATACAGAAATAACAAAATAATTAATTATTTGAAATTGCTCTTATTTCGAATGAATCGATAATATTTTTATTTTCAAATAACAGTATTGAAAATAAAGTTCCGAAATAAATCATTTCAAATAGTTACTTCTCATTTTCAATACAAATAAAATTTGCCCAGGTCTGGGTAGGGATGATTCACTTCCTTAATATTCCATTCTGTTGTCAAATTTAAATGAATTATTGATACGTAAAGTATAATATTATTTTCCAGTAAGTAACGTCAGTGTACGAACGGCAAGATTTTTCATGTCTATATTATAACAATGAATCATTTATAATTTGCATACATATTGTTTCATTTTCTTGTCTTTGCAAAAGTTATCAAAATCGTGTAATTGTATAATATTAAAAGTGAAAAAATTTCTTTATAATCACTTTTCTGTCGGTTTGTTAATATTAATAAGGAAAGAAGTAGGTAATATGTATAAGAAAGTTCACGTTTTTTCCATAAATAAAATAGTACTGAATCCCAATATCGAGAACAGTGGACATTGTTGAACATTTCTTTGTAATTTTCCGCGATCGCGTCATAATGGAATTGTGAGAGATGTCGATACCATTGTCCCTGTAGTCCAATAGACGTTTGTTGAACATCTGCAGGTACTTGGAGTTTCTTGAAAAAGCGAGACCGTATCCTGTCATGGCGTACCAGGATCCTACGGTCAGCAATCGGCAGTCTTCGTCTTGCGCAACCAAATAATCCAAAACCGTCCCGTCGTAGATAAAAGCGTCCATGTCTCTGTCACAAACAGAATAACGTTGCTCACAAACCGGCACCAGAAGAGAAAAGAAATTCAAGGAAAATCGGTGGAACGAACGAATCATACGTCGAATCTCAATCCTTTCATACTTTCTGGTCTTTTTACTTTGGAAGCACGAGGCTCATTCTTATCTCAGCCATTTTCTTTCGGAATTTTCCTATTTCTCCGCAAAGTAATCTCGACTGAAATTTCTTCTGATTTGACACGACTCGTTTAGTTCATATTATTTGAATCATATTTTTATTACTTTTTTTGGGACCGATCTTTCGGACAGTAATATGAAATTCTAAAAATTACTAAGAGGTTCTAGGCAGTATGAATTTTAGAAAACTGTAACTGATTACAGTTACGCTTAAAGAGGACAAATATTTCAATATTAAATTATATCGTTACATTTGAATTATTATTAATCGCAAGTAAGTCGAAAGTATAAGAACATCCATAAATGAAACAACAATCATTTTTATATCTAGTGGGAAATACAGAAAATTATGTTCACTGTTTATTCTCTATTTATGCTTGAAGAATGTGGAAGATGACGTTTTTTTGACAATAATTGACAAGAGAGAAAGTTTAGCTATATTTGGTATTTTCAATATTTCTATTGTAAGTCTAAAAATAAAACCAACCGGAACGAGAACTAATATCAAATATGTTGTAACCGTACTTTTGCCTATTTAATAAATTTATCGATACGAGATTTGCCTGATCTGTAGGGCGGTTACTCTACTTCCTACTGTCGTTCAAAGGATTCCAATGAACACAGTAGAAATGCAGGATTCATGCCTTGGGGCACAAAAGGACAGAGAGAGAGAGATGGTCAGTTAAGAAAATTGCAGACGAAATCTGGTAGAATTACGGTATATTCTAATATGCCCTGGTTTTAACTACAGTTATGTTACTACGACAGATATTTCGATATTCCGCGACACGCTTTTTCACACTTCGCGTACTTACAATCGTGCGCGATACACGCGCGCAATGCTATAATTTCGGTTTAGTGAGGTAACGCGTTCCTAGCTAGAGATGCCTCGATATCTGTCGCAGCAGCTGATGATCCTGCCGATAAATCGGGAGGAATTCTCGGGTGGCGACACACACCAAACCCCCGCCTGCCCGCAGTACAAAAGACGTTGGTGAGAGGCACGCGAACGTGGTCCTTGCACCTATTTCCAACGCAGCAGACAGACAGACGTTGGTCGTGCTTCAGTCGTACACTCTGGTCAGGAATGGAGTTCCGTGGCTAGACGTCGCAGCAGCCGATGATTCTACCGATAAATCGGGAGAATTTCTTGGGTGGAGACATGCACTAAATCTCAGTCAATCCACAGTACAAAAGAGGCAAGTGAGAGGCACGCGTACGTGGTCCCTGCACTTGTTTCCAGTAAAGATGGGGTAACATCAATCATGCTTGATCTAACACATTACTCGGCGTCTACGTTCCCTTGTACATACGTCCCAGCAATCGATGCCGATAAATCGGGAGAACTCGGATGGAGACGCGCACCAAACCTTGATTATCCCGCAATACATAAGGTGGGAGACCCCTTTGGGGGCCATCTCCGAATCGATCGAAGCGCTGAAGTAAACAATCGGACGCTAGCGGAAACACATATTCGATATTTGGGACGGCTTGATAATACGACATCTAACGGCAGTACCCACAAATAAGTTTTGTTCCCCGTTACCATCAAGTTGGGTTTGTATATTTGCTACGCGAAGACAGTGTTGCTGGACAGTATCATTTTTCTGACGCTGTTGCCTCATGTCCTGCATGAAATTCTGCCCGTGAGGAGAACGACGGAATAGCTACGGCCTACGGCCTACGGCTCGTGGCGAGATTTGAATTTTCGCCGAACGTAGGAAAAGAATGGCGCGACCGAAAGAGATTCGATAACGAAACAATATTTACGCATTAATGTGTGCAACGATAAATCTTTTCAAATCGTACCTGTTTTCCAACCTTTTCCACAGCTGACGAACATTCTCAACACCTTTTAGCCTTCAAACAATAGACAACGACTTTTGACTGTTTCATATATATACTGGGCGCCAAAATTAAAGCATCACTAAAATTTGCCGAAAATATTGGTCATTTTCAGATGCCTATATCTTCGCGAAAAATAGCTATAAAAAATATTGTGACAGAGCGTTTTGTAGCCCGAAGTTTCTAGTTTTTGAATCGGGAATTTAAAAATTATTTTTATGTAATTTGTTCCTTTTTTTTAAAAGATGAAGCGCAGTAAGCGAATGTTAAAAAATGTTGGTCAAGTTTGAGAGGATGCATGGGCCAAATGAAATTTTTTCTGGTAATTCCAATGGAAAACTTTTAAAAAGCAAACATTTCTCTTTAATTTCGTTTTTTTAATTTTGTTGTACAGTTTTTATTGGCCGAGTTATTCGTCATCATATGAGAAAAGGTACTTTCCACTTTGACCGCCTGTAACTTGCGAACGCATGATCGTATAGAAAATTCCAGAAGTGATTTGGAAAGCTGAGAGATTTCTCTTTAAAGACCTTTAGTTGCCAATTTGTTGAAATTTTTTTTCGTCGTCTACAGTCCATTTCAAAATAACGTAAAATATTGCATAATTACCATTTTTCACAAAACACGATGCCATTTTAACAAAAATTGTGGAATCTTCCAGGTGTCTACGTTTTTTTAAAGTTAAAAGTACACGTAACCCCTGTACCAAAGGCCGCATTGATCAGATTTTTTTTACCCTGTGCCCTCGATAGTGAAACTTGCGATACAGTCTGAAAAATTGGTGAATGACTCTTTTGCGGCACGTTTCCTCTTTAAAACGATTTCGCAGCGTTTGAACTGTTGTGGTCTGTGTCTTCTTAGTTTCACTTTATTTTAGAAGAAAGTAGAGATGTCAGAAATTTAGCAAACACATTTTTATACAATCTCTTCGCAATGACAAAAAGTGAACAATGCGAAGTGACGAGAGGGTGCAGATGGTGTGCATATCCTACCCTTTCTTAGTTATTGCGATAGATACACTCTTCTTTTTTTTTACTGAACTTAATTTGGTTTTTTTTACCGAACTTCTTCCTTTCCATTGCATCTCCTCGCTGTGTAATGAGATGAGTACCTTGGCATCTGCCAGCGAGACGTTGGCTTGTAACGTTAGTACTGCGCACTGTCTGTAGGTGGCCGCGGCGCCGCGACGATTCTCACAGTTGAGGCTTGCGAGCCACAACTTGATAAGACGAACCGCGAGTGTGGGTGGGTACTCATTAGAACTGGTCTTGCAGTAATTGCATCACGGATTTTTTTTCTTCTTTTTAGCAATTCCATTAAATCCTTCAGTTTCCTCCTCTATTTATTCCTATCGAAATTTTTTTCTTAGCAAATTTTTCACACCTTTTCTCTTTCTTTAAGCACTTTATTATGCCTAGACGTCATCTCTCTGATTACGAAATTGGTCGACTGGTAACACTTTTGCAGGAAGGTTGCAGCCAACGACAGGTTGCTAATGTTCTTGGTGTAAACCAGTCAGTTGTGAGCCGTGTCTATGCTCGATTTAGAGAGACTGGGGAGTATGTCCGTAGATCGGGGCAAGGACGCAGACGCGCGACAAGTTCTCGAGACGACAGAGCAATTACGCGACGTGCTCTTCGGGAGCCCTTTGTTATCGCACGCACTATTGCGGAACAAATTTCGAACCGCAGGCAAAACCCGCCACGCACGATCTCTAACAACACCGTGAGGCGTCGATTGAGGGAGGCTGGCTTACGTTCGAGGCGCCCGGCACGAGTCCCGTTGCTAATTGCTAGACATCGACGGCAGCGTTTAGCTTATGCTCGTCGTTACATACGCTGGTCTCAGCGTCAATGGACAAACGTCCTTTTTACCGACGAGTCCCGATTCTGCCTCCGAGGGAGCGACCGACGGGACCAAGTTTGGCGTCGTTGTGGCGAACGTCACAATGCCAATCATACAAGGCCGATCACTGCGTTCCATGGTGGATCCGTTATGGTTTGGGCCGGAGTATCACGGTATTCACGTACACCGCTAGTTATTCTTCCACGTGGTGGTTTGACCGCTATGCGGTATGTGCACGAGATGTTGCGCCCCGTTGTGCTCCCTCTGCGTCAGCATATGGGCAATCGCTTTCTGCTTATGCAGGACAATGCAAGGCCCCATGTTGCACGCTATACGCAGCAATTTCTTCAAGAAAATCGAATACGAGTTCTTGACCATCCACCAGTGAGCCCTGATTTAAATCCCATTGAACATGTTTGGGATATTCTTGGGCGTCGGTTGCGACAGCAATACCCGGACATAGCGAATTTAGGGCAATTAGCGCACGCCCTCCGCCAAATTTGGCAAAGAATACCACAATCCATCATACGGAGGTGCATTAATATGCGCAAACGATTAAAAGAAGTAATCGACCGGAGAGGCAGTAATACCCATTATTGAACACAACATACGTATACATGCACGCACGCACGCATCGGAGAGTGAGCTTGGAATCGAAAAATACTGTGGGAGTCGGAAATACCGACGGTGCGCAGTACTAACGTTACAAGCGATCGTCTCGCTGCAGATGCCAGGGTACTCATCTCATTACACGGCGAGGAGATGCAATGGAAAGGAAGAAGTTCGGTAAAAAAACAAAGCAAATTAAGTTCAGTAAAAAAAAGAGTGCATCTATCACAATAACTAAGGAAGGGTAGGATGTACACAGCATCTGCACTCTCTCATGACTTCGCATTGTGCACTTTTTGTCATTGCGAAGAGATTGGCTAGAAATGTGTTTGCTAAATTTGTGAAATCTCTCCTTTCTTCTAAAATAAACTGAAACTAAAAAAAAACAGACCATAACAGTTCAAACGCTGCGAAATCGTTTTAAAGAGGAAATGCACCGCAAAAGAGTCATTCACCAATTTTTCAGACCATATCGCAAGTTTCTCTATCGAGGGCATAGGGTAAACAAAATCTGATCAGCTCGGCCTTTGACACAGGGGTTACGTGTACTTTTAACTTGAAAAAAACGTGGACACATGGAAGATTCCACGATTTTTTTTGAAATGGCATCGTGTTTTGTAAAAAATGGTAATTATGCAATATTTTACGTTATTTTGAAATGGACTGTATACGACGAAGAAAATTTTCAACAAATTGGCAAACTGAAGGACTTTAAAGAGAAATCTCTCAGCTTTCCAAAATTCTTTTGGAATTTTCTATACGATCATGAGTTCGCAAGTTACAGGCGCTCAAAGTGGAAAGTGCCTTTTCTCATGTGATGACGAATAACTCAGCCAATAAAAACTGTACGACAAAATTAAAAAAAGAAAATTAAAGAAAAAAGTTTGCTCTCTAAAAGTGTTCCATTGGGATTACCAGAAAAAATTTTATTTGGCCCACGCATCCTCTCAAAGTTGACCAACATTTTTTAACATTCGCTTACTGCGCTTCATCTTTTAAAAAAAAGGAACAAACTACATAAAAATAATTTTTGAATTCCCGATTCAAAAACTAGAAACTTCGGGCTACAAAATGCTCTGTCACAATATTTTTTATAGCTATTTTTCGCGAAGATATAGGCATCTGAAAATGACCAATATTTTCGGCAAATTTTAGTGATGCTTTAATTTTGGTGCCCAGTGTAGTTATGATTATGATTTATCTTGAATAGAAATATTTTTAATACGAGAAAGATCCATTCGAATCGACAGATTCGTACTGACAAGTCACAAACTTCGTGATCCGGTTTTTAACGCTTTTTAGGTACACAAAATGAAGCAAATTGAAAAACGACATCTATTATGCAACAACCTAATATTAACCCTCGGAGTACCGACGGTATCGGTGGTTTCGTAGAGGCTGCAATGGGTCAGTGTTGAGCTATACGTATCTCCTTTTGTGTCTATTACTTAGAGAGTAAGTCATTTTATGTGTATAAAAACTGATATTTCCAACTTTAAAGATTGTTTTTCCAAAGAATATAAATGAACAGCAAAATATGAGTAAATTACACTACTTGTCGCATGTCTCTCAGACACTGTGAATTAAAAATCACATAAGTAACAAAAAATAGAAACCCAAGCTCATTTTATATATAATGATTAAAAAAATCTTACCGGTAAAAAAAGAAAAACAAATTAAATCGCTATTTCCAAATCGAGCAAACATGTTTTTTCTTCGAGATACAGACGTGAACACTGACCGAAGAATTCATTTCTACGAGACATCTGAATTACCTTAGTGGCTCTGGTATAAACAAACCTCAACCTAACACGATTGTCCGACTGTTATTAATGCCGACCATTAACAACAGGTAAAAAGTTTTGCAATCTTCAACAAGAGTCCCTTATAGATCTTTATGTTCGGAACAGGAATACAGGAATCTGTAAATCATTTTGTTATTATGAAGTAATCTAAATACATCTAAAACATTATTTAGATGTATTTAAATGTCTATAATATCATGACAGTTTATAATCACTTTATTCGGGAGAGTCCAAAGAATTATTTCTTGTCAAAAGTAACTGACACGATGTCTGATAAGAACTCAATTACTGTAAAAGTACAAAATTTTCTCAAAGTTGACAATTTACAATTTCTTTTAAAATGGATTTTTTCAGATACTGTAGGTTTTGCAAGAAAAAACGGTTTGCAAATCCGTATTCAACCGATAAAGATCTATCAAAAATGCGTATTGAAGGTTACAAAATCGAACAAAAAGTTGTAAACAGTATTATCGAACCCCCTGGTAGCGATCAAGTGTTTCTACTCACCCGCTGATAACGGCCTCGATCCCCTCGGCTACGCTGGTTTTATTGAACGTCTTCATGTACGCGTGCATCTCCTTGAAATACTTGGCGAGCGTGCTATCTGTGTGACTCCACGGTATCGTGCCGAACTTGAACATCGGCTTGTGGGACCAGGGCTTGGCCAAACGATGATCGTCTACCCCGGTGAACTCGTGGAACTCTTCCCTCGTGATCATGAAGGCGGCCAAATTGGCAGTGTAAATCGCGAGGAACACCACGGCGAATAACGCCCATACGTTCGTCATGAATCTGTATAATTACGATGGATCGTTCATTGGGTGAAACGCAGTGCTTGGCGTACAACTTTCACGTCGGTGTATCTGGGTAATTTAGATTTGGACATGACACAGCTGCAGGGTTGGGAAAGGGATGGAACAGACTGGTGGTAAACATCTCGCCGGGAAATGATGCACGACGTAAACCATGCGAAATTGATGAATCAATATCGACGGTTCTATGCACTACGCGAGAGACGATATGCTGTTTAGTACGTGGAAATTATTGGTTTCTATTGAGATACGCGTTTGCGTTAGGGTTTGAACACTTATAAGTGACCCGAACTCAGACTTTAATTTTCGACAATTAGGTGTACTAACAAGTAACTCACTATCTTCTGTTAAATTCAGTATTTATTATCTAGGAAATCACTGTTTTCTGTTTAGAGATGTTTTTGCTCTGGGACAGAACACTTATAGAGTTTGAACCTCGAGTACTGTTTGGGTCGAATTGATACAAACTCAGACTAATTTTTGACTATTAGGTATACCAATAAGTAATCTACCATCTTTTGTTAAATTCAGTATTTATTTTCTAGAAAATTAGGAGCCTATGCTGTTTCAGCGATATTTGTTCTGGTTTCTCAACATTTGCTACAATTTTTAATAAACATGAGAAGTATATAACCAAAATAAACTTTGTAGAAATAATATTTCACATGGAAGAACTTTATTCGGTATTTCAAGTTGATTGTAAAATAATACATCATCACTTCGTCATACCACGATTTCCACTGTATCTTGTATATCTATCCCTCCCTGTTATCCGTGATAAAGCGTCTTGTTACCCGTTCTTTGTAATCGAAACGCTTGTTTGACATTAATATGACGTACGACATCCAATCGAATATCGTCGTGGTACATGTACTACCAGTGGGATGCGCAACGTCAAACAGCTTTAAAGTTACGACGCACAAGCCGGTTAATGACATCGTAAGCCGTAAGCAATAGGGATTAGTAGCACGTTTCATGAGTTGAAATTAATTAATCGGAACAAGATGGATGTAAACGATAAGTTTTAACGTTTATCTATTCTCAAAAGACACCACGATTCAAGCAATTCGTCGTTACGTTTACGAAGATTAACTCCTTAAACGTTATGGTTCATTACTAAAAGTACAGTTCACAGTGGCACGAATTTTTCACGCGTATACAAGGTGTCCCATTTTAATTTCCCCAGGCAAATATCTTGTAATATATGGAAAATACGAAAGAATGTTTCGAACGAAAGTTATAGGGTATTCAAGGGGACAGACCATACTGACAGTCCTTTGACCTTGCGATGACCTTGCAAAGCCCAGCGGAGGTCAACTTCAAATTTTCTAATAGGAATATTTATTTTTTATTTTTTTTTATTTATGTGCGTAGGGAAACTAAAGTGGGGCACTTTGTATGTACATTATGACCATTACTTGAAAATAATTTTGCACGTGACAAGAAATACAGGTAAAACGATACATTTCGAACACTACTACTTCGAGGGAATTCAAAAAATCTTTTTTATATTATTTAAAAAATATTCATAATACCAATATTGTTCGTCATTCTCACTGCGTATTGACTTTGGCCATGACGCTTATACAGGGTGTTAATAAAAATGTGGAACAATCTCACAGGATAGATTCTACCTGCCAAACTACCTACTTGTAAGAAGAGAATCCAGAGTGACGAAATTGCGTTCGAGGCTTCGGTTTCGAGTTATTTATTGTTGAAAATTTAGGCAAAATACGTGTAAAATACGCCAGACGCGATGAGTTATACTATTTACAACAGTCAATTCCTAGCTGGTACATAAGCGTGTTCGATGATCTAGTAGAAATTAACGAATGGAATAAAATGAAATCAATAAATTCATCTCATGAAACAGTTGAAGAACGCGCCTCTTAAGTTCAATAGCTCTTCGCATCAGATCTACCTTACATGTATTTCGCCCATATTCTTCAATAATTAATAACTCGGAAACCGAGTCTCGAACCCATTTCGTCGTTCTTGATTTTCATCCTACAAGTAGTTTGATATGTAGAATTCACCCTGTGAATGTGTCCACAATTTTTTGAACACCCTGTATACGACATAACTGCTTCACCCTTTCGCACCAGTGGACGAGATATCTCGCCACGTGACTTCGTTCATGATATGTTTTCACGAGATCGTCCAAAGCATATCATGAACGAAATCACGTGTCGAGATATCTCGTCCACCGGTGGGAAAGGTTTAAGGGGCGAAGTGAAATGTGAAACGAAACAAGCGCGTTTGAATTCACGGACGGTCGTTCGTGAAATAAAATGTGTATTTCTTATGGATAACGTTACGGGTAGATACAGTTTCTTGGCACGGGCAGAAAGTGTTCCGCTCGCGCGGTAATATATTTCGTTCCGCGAAACCACGTCATTATCTAAGATTTACTTTTTGATTTATACGATTTCCTCTTACTTTTCGCCGTAAATTATTTTGCGTTGTTCCACGCCAACTGGAAAAATTACCGTTCGTCGCATTGTTCTATAATATAAAATCTAGTTATCAAAATTACTGCTACTAAGCGTACCAACAAAGTAATCCAGTATGTTTTTAAATTATGAAACGGTATATTCTCAATGGAAAATATCTTCTCGACTTTCCTTCGAGAAAAAATCAGATATAGAGTGTTGGAATAATCGTTACAAATACAATTAAAATAGGATACAACCTTGACTTCCTGTAGAAACGAATACAGATTTCATCAAAAAATGATGGATTACATAGGTATTGGTACACACACTAGAATTACCAAATCCACTAAAATGGCGAATTGCAGGTTTCTTATTTTACAATTGCTGAAGTTATAATACCGCTTTTTGTGGAATTTATTGTTGACTTCTGATTTGGTATACATTTCATATGAGACTGACTACGCGTAATTTGTTAGCTCTGTCAGAATATTCTTCTCTTCTATGTTTGTTATCTGATTTACACATTTCGTAGATTAATTCTAATATTAATAATCTGACAGTTTTCCAATACGATTGCATAAGAACGTTCCATGGAAGCTTTTTCCCACGAAGGTAGAACCTTTTGACGAATCAAATATTATTGCCAAAAAACAAGTATCGGATCGTTTTTTTCTTTAAATGAACGCGAAAATCGATGCTAAAAATTCATTATTTTATTATTGGGATACATTAAATGGAATTGAAAAGGTATGTATAGGCCTATTTACACGTTCAAATAACTTACGCAAACTGACTTGCGCATTACACGTTCAGTCTACCTTGCATAGTTACTTTATACATACATACAGGGTGTCCAAAAATAGGTGTACATCCTTGAAAGGGATGATTCCTGCGGTGATTTGAAACAACTTTTTCTTTAACGAAGAAGTTCTCCGAAGCTCTGTAAACGAGATATTAACGAAAAACTTCGATCAATCAGAGCGCGAGTCTGCCAGTTGAGCTCCCGCAAACTTACGCTCTGATTGGTCAGGGGTTTTCGTTAATATCTCGTTAACAAAGCCGCGAAGAACGTTTTCGTTCAAGAGAAAGTTGTTCCAAATCACCTCAGGATTCGCCTCTTTCAAGGACATATACCTATTTTGTGACACTCTGTATAAAGAATAAACCATAATGAAATGGTAAGAAAAGTGATAACTATTTGCCAAGGGCCTTAGCTTCCATTTAAACACAACGGTATGTTTGCGCAAATGTGAATGCACAAGTCAGTATGTGCAAACTATTTGATCGTGTACACAGGCCTTATGGAGCAAATACAGGGTGGCCCATGTAACTCTTGACAGCTCAATATCTCGAAAACTATGCCATCGAGTTTTAAGTTCTTGGTTTTAAATTGAATGAATCTGAAGGCCCTTTCTAACTACATAAACGTGAAGTGGCTCCCCCTTCCTCTTTAAGGGGGGGGGGCGGGGGCGGGGGCGACTTTATAATTTTAAATGGAACCCCCTATAAAGTGTTACAAATTTAGATTCTACAGGAAAAAACAAGTAAATTTTGTCTGAAACATTTTTTTGTCAGACATTTCCATGATGAGATATAACAGTTTGAAGTTTCGACTTGTAGGCATTTACTTGAAGCGCTCGGAAATTGCGTTATTGAATTATACGCGCTTGAGTCCTTTGCTTACTCGTGAAGAAGCAAAAACAATAATATTTACAATTCTTGAGCGCTCCTCCACATTTTGCAATCATCATCAGACAATTTTCGAATCAAAAATTTGGGAACAAATGGATAAGTCGTGGGGGACCTTATCAATGGCCTCCTCGATCCGCCGATCTAACACCATTAGATTTTTTCTTATGAGGATATGTAAAGGACAAAGTTATGTTTGAACCGCCGATGACAAAAGAGAATATGAAACAAAGAATATGTGACGCTTGTGCTTCAGTGATTTCCGAAATGTTAACAAATGTTAGAACAACTTTGATGTTTCGAGTAAATAAATATTTACAAACCCGTGGTGGACATTTTGAACATTTAATTTAAAGAATATTGTATTTCTGCACGAATAAGCGAAGGACTCAAGCGCGTATAATTCAATAACGCAATTTCCGAGCGCTTCAAGTAAGTACCTACAAGTCGAAACTTCAAACTGTTATATCTCATCATGGAAATATCCGACAAAAAAATGTTTCAGACAAAATTTACTTGTTTGTTTCCTGTAGAATCTAAATATGTAACGTTTTATAGGAGGTTACATTTAAAATTATGAAGGTACCCCCGCCCCCCACCCTTAAAGGGGAGGGGCACTTCACGTTTATGTAGTTAGAAAGGCCCTTCAGATTCATTCAATTTAAGACCAAGAACTTAAAAATCGATGGCATAGTTTTCGAGATATGAGCTGTTAAGAGTTATGTGGGCCACCCTGTATATGGGTTACAAACGTATTTTGTAAGATGTTTAGGATTTTTTTATCTTGTTCGATTCCCAACAATAAAGCGCGTTGTATTGATCGGATTGTACGACCTCGATTCTTCCCGTTCAATCTATCGTGGCGATGATCCACGGGGCGGGGATTTTAATCCCATATAAAAATTGTTTTACCGACCTGGCTGTGAATCCCCTGGGCGAATCGATATGGACGGCTGCCTGAAATAATACGGCCCAGACCAACCAGTATGTGCGGCAGAACGAGAAGCGATGGTTTGGCGAGGGGTTCTTCTGAAACCAACAAAAAACGACGGGTTCTCATCTGGTTTGTAGTTGTTATCTGGGGTGAAGCGTGGCAGCAATAGTAAGTTAACAACAGAATGTTCAATATTGTGCGGCCGTGCGAGGGACAAAAAGATGGATCCGTTCGGTAGACACTAGGGTACAATTGGTGCATGATAGGTTGCGGTGGATTCCTATACTATTGTACTGGGCGTATCGGAATTTTTCGGTTCTTCAGGATGAAAACGCCTCCTGAAGCTTAGGTACTTCACTGTTTGAATGCAAATAAAAAAAAATATATAAAAATTAGATCTTTAATTGAGCAATTTGATACCAATACCTTGATACAATTGCTCCAAAAAGTGGGGTTGTTGTGTGTGTGTGTGTGTGTGTGTGTGTGCTTGAATCAAGATTACATGTATATAGAAACGAGTAAATTGACGTATTGAAATAAGCAAATGATTAAATATTTATTTTTTCCAATTTTTTGTTTTCAAACAATTGTCATGCCATTGGTTAGCAATGTTCGTTTACTTTATATTGTTCATTCAATGATAAGATCTGTATTTTTTCTTTTTAATTTAAAATTCGATTTTAATAGTTACAAAATCTCGTGAGTGTTTCTTTACTGGTGCGTTTATTCTACGTAAATATTGTAGATACTTATATCTAATTACGAAAACAGGGAGTTCGAAGCAGTAAAAGGAAACAGGGGAATATGAGTAACTTGAAAATTCAGATTTTTTTTTAATAGCAGGGTTTTAGGGAATGTCAATAGAAGTGTCCGGCAATTTTTTTCGCTACTTGTTTTTTCGGAGTGAAAGCGCCATTTAAGGCCGGGGACACACGAGCGTTTTTGTCGGACGACACAAGACGGACGATTGTAGAAATATGTATATAGGGTTACATTGTAGAGCGCACACAGAAACGTCGTGCCGGTAGTGATGGGATTTGGAACGCTTCGAATCGATTCGAAACTGTCTTGAATTCGAGCGACAAATTCGAATCGCTTCGAATCTGATTCGAAGCTACGAAAGTCTTGAAAGTCTTGAAAGTCTTGAAAGTCTTGAACGGATTCGAAGTTCCGAGGCGATTCGAAGTCTCGAGCGGCTTCGAAGTCTTGACCAGATTCGAAGTCTTGAACGGATTCGAAGTCTTGAGCGGATTCGAGTCTTGAACGGTCTTGGAAATCTTGAGCGTTTTGTAATTTGTAAGTCTTGGAAGTGTTGAGATGTTTTTATAGGTTATATTATTATTCAATATCTTCCAGGTTACAGGTTACAGGTACAGGCTTTTTGATTACTTTTGTTCAAGCAGTATCATTGATATAAGGTATTAAACAATATTTGTAAATTTCGAATTATCATAAATACATTTATTGTTCTGATTATTTATTTATTTATTTTTTTTGTGGGAATTGAGGAATGTGAGGAAGGAAATGTAAAAAAAGTGAAAACATTTCCCAATGAATAAGACACAATTTGTGAAGAAATAAGGTTATTGCTTATATATATTATTTATTGAATAACAAAATCGTATTTAAACTTAACATAACGTGGGATATAGTTGAAGGGAAAATATCAAACAGTAGTGATTTTCGGAAAACTGTATATGTAAATGTTATTAAGTAAATACAGCAAATTT